GGCCCCGCCACAGCGCCTGGCCATTTTTTGGTTGCAGCCATCATTGTTGTTTGGCGGGCCCGGGCTGGGGATTCGAACACGCCACCTTAGGTGTATATGGCTGGCGCCTAGCCGATGGGAACTTTCTTAAGGGGGAAATTCACGGCCCTGTTCTATTCACCTCTTGGAAGGGTGAAGCAATGGAGGTCCCAAAGGTAGAGTTTAGTACAGAATTTGAAGCACATGTCAGAGGTCCCAAACTTTGGTTAACAGTTAGAGCAGTGGTTTTCTCTGGGTTTCCTATCCTAGGAGTGGAGAAGTAGGGGTGCTCACAGCATTTAGAGCCAGCACCAGGGAAGCTAAGTGTCTTCTGCTGCAGAGAACTGTTTTACTCAAAATGCAAGTAGTAGTAGTGCCTTGTGAAGAAACACTACACTATTCTAAATAGGCAGATGGGCCTTTGAGATGGGTTTTACATGTCTTCTTGAGTTTTCACTCTGTGCCAGTTACTTGATTCTAGTGAGGACAGGCTACTGTCTTTATTGATCCTCGCTAGGCCTCAGTTGCTCATCTGAATGAGGCCAACCTGAGGCAGGTGTGAGAGCAAGCAGCCTGGCACAGAGGAAGAGCTCACATTTACCCCGACTTACTCCTCCAGTCTCACTCCCTGGTCTGTCCTGTCTTTCCTTTGGACTTTGATCCACACCGTTTCTTTTGCCTAGAAACCCACTTTCACCTTCAACTCAAACTTCAGGACGCAGCTTCAGGGGAGGCCTTCTTGCATCTTCTGACCAGCCTGGGTTCCCCACTGAACCCACTTGCAGCCCCCTACATTTCTCATCTGGAACACCCATACCTATTATTTCTGTCTGTAAGTTTTTGTGGCTTCCTTTCAAAGATGGGTGGGCCCATGTTCTGTGCCAAGCATGTGGTAGGCACTCAATAAATATTTTACTGAAAGAATAAAAGGTGACTCAGGAAGCTGATCCCCAAATGTTGAAATTAAATCCCTTCTTTTACTCTGCTTAGAGTTCCCTTACCAGTCCTGTGGCTCTGAACTGCCTGAGACTGACTGAAGCACAAGAGGCTATCTGGCTGGAGAAGGATAAGAAAACATGGTTGGGTTCAAGTAGAAACATCTGAACTTTCTCTTCTGGAAGTACCTTAAGCACAGACCCCAGGTGAGCCCACATACAACGCTACCAAGACTTGGGTGTAGGTTTGCCCCAGAGGTGGGTACCTTCGCCAGGTTGCTGGTGCTTACGGTCATGGTGAAACAGATGGGGTATATTGGAGCCATAATCTCGAGGAACATGGCTACATCATTGAGGATGTCAGCAAAAAGCCTGAGGGTGGAATCAGAGGTTAAAGGTCAAAACTAAGAGCCCTTCCTAATAGAAGACTCTCCTCCTCCCTGCCCCAGCCCCTTCTTACCTCCACTGCTTGGCATTACAGTCCAGTTTGCTCCTGTGGGGGAAGAGTAGTTGTTGAAATTTGTATTTAGGGAGAAAAGATATCCTATGGGCAGTGTGAGGGGTCTTAGGCCTTGGTAAGGTCTAAAGGGCTCAAGAAAATCCATACCCCACGCAGATATCTGTCTCTATATCTTGTCACTGCTGGGAGGACCTTCTGTGATCACATAGTGTTTCCCCTTATTAAGCATGCCTTAACCAGGGAAAAAAACCTGACTGTGTTGTGGCTGCTTCTCAACCTCTGGCCACCCTTTTAGGAAGACTATTCCTGGGTTTCTCTGCCTCTCCCCTCTTCTTGCTTCATTGAGGGTACCTGACAAGAAGTCTATACATATTAGACTGGTAAACACAAATTTAATGTAACTCCTCATGTTACAGATAACTGGCCCAGATAGAGAATATGATTTCCCTGGATCACCTGGACAGGAGGAGGAAAAGGCCAAGAGAAAGAGGTAGGCTCCAACATGTAGGCCTAGGATTTTTCTGTTACACAACATTGTGAATGGCTACCTCATCTGCTCCTCTTTGTCAGGCAGTCGTGACTGGCTGGCCTGTGCACAGACACCTGGGAACCACTTCTCTAAGATCCTAGTGGCAGGAGATACTGCAGCCCCCAGCACAGGTTACAATTTGCAACATGAAGCCTGAGCCTTAATTTGAAATCTTCTGGAGGGAAAGGGAACATTCCAGGGTGGGATATCAGATGCACATGGGGAACTCCTAAACACATGGGCCTGGTCTAGGATTCTGCCCAGTGAACCACAGGCTTCAGGTACAAATCCTATCTTACTAGTTACAAGCTACATGGCTGGGGCAAATAACTTCCCTCGTCTAGGTATGTTTCACATCTGTAAAATGTACACATTCAATCCTATCCTACAATGTCGTTATAAGGATTAGGAACAATATACAGAGTGCTCATGTGGCATAGTTAGAGCTGTTGATGGTAGCTAGTGTTTACTGAGCCCTTACAATGTATCATGCAATGTGCTAAGTGCTTTGTATAGGTTATCACACTGAACCTTCAAAACCACAATTGATAGCTGATACTATTACTATTACTATTGTCATGGGGGAGAGCTGCCAAAAGTCTGGTGACTAGGAAGACAAACTCACCCCTTCCACCAGGCAAAGACGATGCGTCCCAGCATGCCAGTTGAATCTAGGGAAGAGAAGAAGGTACTCGTAAGGAATAAGAGGCCTGGGGGCTGCAGAGCTTGGCAGATCTTGGCACTGAATTGGCTGATTCACCCTGGATCAGTCCTGTATGATAAGTTCTGGATAGACTTAGTTGCATGTGGGGTCAGAGTGCCTAGACTCAGCAGCCATTCAGTATGAACTCCGAGACACATTAACAAGAGACGTTCTTTGCAGCATTGTTCATAAGAGCAAACTGGCACTAATGCAAATGTTTATTGATGGAATGAATAAATTCTAGTTATTCCCTCAAAGGCATATTAGGGAACAGTGAAAATTCAAAGAATCATAACTACTCACATCAACATAGGTGAAAACTAGTATTATAATCTTGGATTAAAAAGTAACTCATGGCTTGGCGCCTGTGGCTCAAGTGGCTAAGGCGCCGGCCACATACACCTAAGGTGGCATGGGCCTTGAAGCCTGGGCCTGCCAAACAATGATGGCTGCAACCAAAAAAAATAGGCATTGTGGCAGATGCCTGTGGTCTCAGCTACTTGGGAGGTGGAGGCAGGAGACTCGCTTGAGCCCAGGAGTTGGAGGTTGCTATGAGCTGCGATCCCACAGCACTCTACCCAGGGGGACAGCTTGAGGCTCTGTCTCAAAATAAAAAAGTAACTCATGAAGACCACACATAATACATTTACTTTCTTTCTTTTTTTTTTTTTTTGCAGTTTTTTTTGGCTGGGGCTGGGTTTGAACCTGCCACCTCCAGCATATGGATGGGGCCAGCGCCCTACTCCTTTGAGCCACAGGTGCTGCCCCAATACATTTACTTTCCATAAAAGCTCCAAAACAATGAAAACTAATATAGGGTTTAGGAATACAAATATATTTAATAAAACTATTCAAAAAAGCAGAGAATTTAAGTAGAAATTCAAAGGTTAACTGCTGATACTCCAGCTCTTAGGCTGGATGGAGGGTTCACAGGTGGTCATTTATAGTACAAATAAATAAAAAAAGGATTTGAACTGTGGTGGGCGACAGACAGAGCTGGAGGCACAGGGCAGAGGAAGAGGCTGCCTCTGGCTGGGCAGAGTAAGAGAAGTCTCCAGAACCAGCAGGACCTTCATTTGCACAACAAATGTTTACTGGCTGTCTTCCCCTTGCCTGTGCCCTGACTAGGTACTTCATGAGGCACTGCAGGGAACCAGAGAATTGTGGTTCCAGGCTCAAAAGCCAGCCTAAGAGCAGACAGCAATTAGTACAAAAAACAGATTTAGACCAGGAATCAGTCAACGACAGTTGATAGGCTTTTACTCCCTGGTTTTGCAAACAAAGTTTTATTGGAACACAGCTGTGCCCATTTGTTTACAGATTGTTCTTGAGATACAATAGGCAGAACTGAGTTGCTGCAACTGAGATGTAAGAACTGCAAAGCATAAAATATTTATCATCTGACCCTTTACAGAGTAAGTGTGCCAATTTAGACCATCCCTTATACTGAGTAGCACCCATTAAGCTCAGCAGGGGGAATCACAAAGGAGTGTTTTAGAATAAGACAACCAGAAGGGACTCACACAGTGGGTAGTGGAAAGGACATATATTGTGGGCAGAGGACTCTACCTTGCTTGAGCTTGAGGGCATTGACCCTGTAAGTGGAGGATATAAGAAGGTAAACTAAGTTGTGGGAGGAGGGTTGGGAGCTTCCTATAATATATAATAGTGATATCAGCCAGCCTTTCCCATTCTCCACTGAAAACAGATGCACTCACTCCTTTCCAGAGCCTCTGATCTTGGGCACTGACAGATAGTGCCCAAGACATGCTTCTAATAGACATGCTTCCCCAACCCTGGACTTGAGGGAGACTGATAAGCACTCTGGTCAATGTCTGAAATACCTAAGCCTTTTGTGTGTGTGGTTTTTTTTTTTTTTTTTTTTTGGCCGGGGCTGGGTTTGAACCCACCACCTCCAGCATAATCCTGTAAGCTTGGGAGGGATCATTCCCTTTCACTGAAGCCCAGAGAAGACAGATGAACACAATTGGAACATTTTACAACAAAATTTGGATTTATACCTTTTCTGGAAGAACCCTCTATCACTGCCAAAACCAGTTGGAGCTGAGCAGTGTCTTTATTCAAAGGAAGTATGTGTACAGCACAATCTCATCTGTCCTGCTTTACTTCTCCATTTCTGTCCACTCTCTGACCCTGAGAGTAATACTTCCTAAGGTAGTTTTTACAGGGCCCTTCCCTTCTATCAGTCACCTTAACCTCTTCTGTTCAAGTACATTATCTTTTTTCTTTTAAACCTCTTCCTTTCAGTCCCTTTGAGTTTCTTTCCTTCTCTCTACTTTTTTATTTTTAGAGATGGGGTCTTGTTATGTTGTCCAGTCTGGACTCAAAATCCTAGGCTCAAGCAATCCTCCCGCCTCAGCCTCCTGAGTAGCTGGGACTATAGACGTGTGCCATAATACTTGGCTAAAGTACACAATATTCTATACACAATTTTCATTGTTCCATTTAATATCCTTATATTAGATCAATTTAATTACTCTGAACATGGCACGATTACTTTTACTGTTTGCGAAGAGGCCCACTGGGCCAGTCTCTATTTTCCTTTCCTTTGACTGCTTTCTCATATCCAATCAGGTGTACGTTGTCTTTAGGCCACTTTACTGAAAGAGAGTCTCATCTACCATTCATGCAGGACCCTAGTTAGAATCTGAAGGTTAGCCCTAGGATGCATTAATGACACATACCCTTCCTGTTATCTGAAAGTCAACATTGTCCATTAGAATAGGAAACTTAATTAACTTAGTTCCAACCTGATTTTTTGCTTCACTTACAATTAGTTGAGCTTTAAGATCTAGAAACTTCTGAGCCCTAGGTAAGGAATCAGCTGTCTGCAAACTGTACTTGGATCCACTTTAATATCCTAACTGGCAAAAAGGTGTAGTAGTTAAGATAGGGACACAGGAGTAAGTTTGCCTAGGTCTAAATCCTGGCCCTAAGTGACCTTGGACAAGATTGCTTAATCTCTCTCTGCCTCTGTTTTTCCAGGTGAAAAATTAATTAATAATGGCAGTTAACTAATATAGCTGCTGCAGAGATCAAGATACAGTTTACATGTAACTGAACAAAATGTCTGGCTTGTCAAAATAATAGATACTAATAGTTATTAGTATTATTAGTTGTGACACTTAACACATTTCATTAAGAGATCAATACCTGAAAATGAACACATCAAAAAATTCCAAGGGAATTTCTTATATGAAGCTCTGCATACAAATTTCCCATGTTTGATAAAAATGAGCTTGTAAAATCCTTTCTAATTAAGTGGAAATGGTGAAAATGTGCGATGGGCTTATTAACAGACTACAGCAACGTGCATTTGTAACAGAACAAAAAATCATGTCAGTCTATAAAATCCAAGAGAGATTTCCAAGACAAAAACCATTAATAATGAGGCAGATGATTATGGAGGCAACATTTTAAAAATCCACCTAGCAGAGTGTCTCCTCATCCCTATAGGACCTCCTTTCTGGTCCCTCAACTGCTTCTAATGTTTCTTTCCAATTAAAAAAATAAAAGACAGTGTGTGATGACCTGTGGAGTGCGAATTGTGAAGTGGCAAGACCTCCACAGCCTGGGAAGTGTGTTCAAGGAACGACCCCCAAACTGCTTCTCCTCCATTCCTAAAACAATAGTTCCTTCCTTCCCTCTGCCAGAACAAGTAGCTTCTGTATACTTCATGTATACAGCTACTTCATGTAGCTTCTGTATACTTTCCTATCTGTCACCAAAAATCACATAGCCTGGGTGGCTCAAGGAGTACGGCACTGGCCCTATATACAGGAGGTGGTGGGTTCAAACCTGGCTCCGGCCAAAAACTGCAAAAAAAAAAAGCACATAGCCTTCTCTCCCTAAGTTAATCTTTACTCCATGTAATATTACTGCCCCTCAACTTTGTAAAATGAAAATATTCTCTCTCACTTTTCCTGCTCATTTACAACATTGTTAGTATAGCAACCTAGTAGTATATAAATAAAGTTCACATGGTTCTGCTGGCAGCAGTCATCAGCTCAGCCAGACCTCCCGGCCCCACCACTTTATCTCTTGAGTGATCTCTGTCTCTTGTGTGTCTTATTTTCTCATTCCCACTCATTCCCACTCTGGTTTATTTACTCTTCACACTGGCTGGTGAAAACAACCTTTTAACCAAAGCCTTGTAGGTGGAGGCTGAAACTCTGTTATTTCTTGTTGCTTTTTTTTTTTTTTTT